TCTCTGTAAAAAATCAATAAAATATATTTTTAAAAAAACAACAAAAAAAACCCCCAGGAGGTAAAGGTTGATATAAATGATGCTTCCCTCCGCTTATCTTTTTTGTACATCCTTTTCACAAAATGCTATTTTCCCCCACTCAGCGTTGATTTTAAGATGTATCTGTGTTCTATGTATAGATGTAGCCCATTATTCTAACCACTGTATCGTAACCTAGGTTTATTTGACAAATAAACCTAGTTTATCCCTCCTCCCTTCTGAGGAAGAGGTAGGTTTAGTTCCTGCTTTCCCCCCTCTATTATAAACAGCGCTTTACTGAAAATCCTTTTATGTGTTTCCTTGTGTAAACGTGCAAAAGCTTTCTCCCCTTAAGGTAGGTTTCTAGAGGTAGAGTTACATCAATATCCCTGAACGTCAAGAACCCTTAACGTTTATAAAAAACAGGCAGCAGAAAAATGGGCGCCAGGCGTATGAACAACGGGCACTTTAAAGAAGAGAAAATGAGAATGATGAGTAGGAACAAACAAACAAATGTTCCATCTCACTAGTAATCAAGAGAAAGAGAAATTAGAGCGCTGATAAGGCATCATTCCAAGCCCATAAGATTGACAGGGAGCAATAAATCCACGGACGGAACAGAGGCGCCGTCTAAGCTCATCTACTTGCCGGGAGGGTCTGTGCATTGGCGTGGCCTCTGTAGTGTGAGGGCCGAGGGAGGGGCCGGTCAGGTGAGCAGACACCCCCGCCAACCCCTGAACCCTCCCTCTGGGTGACTATATTCCAGAGGGAGTCCTGCACAAGGTGCCCTTTTCACTGAAAACTGCAAGAACAGGTAGACCCGTCTCATGTTTTAAAGCCACTGAACACTATTCCATAAAACGGAGGGACTCTGGGTTGTTTAAATCTCTCTTTACTGGGAGATATTTAGGTTTGTTTTTCTTTCTATTCTTCTGTTTAGACCAGGGGTGGGCAAACTTTTTGACTCAAGGGCCACAATGGGTTCTTAAACTGGACCGGAGGGCCGGAACAAAAGCATGGATGGAGTGTTAGTGTGAACTAATATAAATTCAAAGTAAACATCATTACATAAAAGGGGACGGTCTTTTTTTTTTTTTTTTAGTTTTATTCATTTCAAATGGGCCGGATCCGGCCCGAGGGCCGTTAGAAACCCACGGCTGGTTTAGACGGATGTAGCAAACACTCGTGAATATGAGCATGTGAACAACGTTTCTCAGATAGATACCAAGACACGGCATAACTGGGTCGAAGGATAAGAACATTTAAAAAAAATTTTTTTTTTTCCAGAGAGGAAAGGAGAGGGATAGAGAGTTAGAAACATTGATGAGCGAGAATCATCAATCAGCTGCCTCCTGCACACCCCCTACTGGGGATGTGCCCGCAACCAAGGTACATGCCTTTGACCGGAATCGAACCTGGGACCTTTCAGTCCGCAGGCTGACGCTCTATCCATTGAGCCAAACCAGTCAGGGCAAGAACATTTAAAATGTAAATAATGACGCGAAGGCCTCGGAGTGTGTGGTTCCACTTCTATGAAATGTCCGCCGTGGGCAACTCCGTAGAGACAGGAAGCAGCTCTCGTGGTGGCGATGGGGTGGAGGGAGGAAATCAGGAGTTACTGCTCATGGGTTCGGGGTGTCTTTTGGGGGACAATAGAAATATTCTGGAATTAGAGAGTGGTGAGAGTTGCACGACATACTGAATATGCTGGAAACCACGAAATCATAAGCTGCAAACGGTGAATTGTATGCATGTAAGTTTTATCTCAATTTAAAAACAAAAAATAGATGTGGCCAAATTGCCCTCCACCGTAACTTCTAAGAACAGTGTGTGAGAATACCTGTTTTCCACATCCTCATGCTGTCAGTCTTTTACATTTTTGCTAATCTGACAGGAAAAAAAAATAGATTTTTAGAAGTTTTCATTTCCTTGCTTACCATTGGGGCTGAGCGTCTTTTCATAGATTTGCTTTCCCCTGCGAGTCTGGCGTGTATGATTCGCCCGTTTTTCTCCTCTACCGTTTATCTTTTTCTCGTTGATTTATAGGAGCTCCGTTTATGATGGGGATTAACCTTTTATCTTTTTATTTTTTTATGGGTCAGACTGTCAATCTTTTGATGTTCTGAGTGACTTTTAGAATGGCTTCCCCCACCGTTATCATACACATGTCCTGCTACATTTTGTCCTGCTATTTTGTGGCTTTTTGTTGATGGGCCCTTGACCGGAATCGAACCCGGGACCCCTCAGTCCGCAGGCCAACGCTCTATCCACTGAGCCAAACCGGTTTCGGCTCGTTGATGGTTTTTTAAGGCTTTAATCCATCTGTGTTCTAGTGACTGAGGTGCAGTAGGGGTCTGATTATTTATGCTATTTATGCATTGATGACATCTTTCTGTTTTGTGAGATCCTGTTCAGAGCGTTTTGTCTAATTTTCCATGCATACAGGCAGGGGAGAGTATTTAACATCCAGAAGGATATTCAATATCTGCTTAACGTAAGAATGGACTCCCAGGCATCCCATACATGGAGAACTCCTGCCTTGAATTTAAATTCAGTTGGCTTATATCAGGGGTGGATCCAGGTTTTGTGGGGCCTGAAGTTTATATAACTTCAGGAGTTTTTTTTGTTTTGTTTTGTTTTTTCAACCCAAGAATCCAAATTATGAGTATGAAGCTGGGCACAGAGACTTGAAACCCCAGCGTCGTTGGCCCCACAGGCAGCTCAGTCCTGGCGACAGTCTCAGGATGCTCTTGTACATAAAAGGCTGAGGACCTCCGTCTCTACCCGGACTGGGGAATGACTGCCTTTTATCTTCCCCAACTGCCACCACCTAAGGATTTTCTTCTCCTTCTGTCTCTTGAAGGCACATTTAAGAGCCGACTCACACATCCAGGCGGCTTTCATGTGGCAAGTGGAGTTAGCCCGGGCTCTGTTAGCCGAGTCTTTGCTGCCTCTGCATGGCTCAGACGTAACCTATTTGATCAGCGGAGTCGCTGGGAGCTCAGCATGATAATGTGGATCGTTAATCTTACAAGCCCTCGGAACCTGGATTTACAACCTTAACTTTGCATATCTGCTTACTTGTGCATTAGACTCCGGTCAGCACTCTTGAGAGGCATGCAAATGCGACGAGCAGGGCTTTCTTCCGAATCCTGCCCCTGGGAAAATCTAGCTGGTTTGGCTCAGTGGATGGAGCGTGGGGCCCGGGGCGCGTGCCGGGTTGCGGGTTGCGGGCTCCGGGCTCCATCCCCCACTGGGCGTGTGGGAGGTGACCGATCAGTGATTCTCTCTCATCATGGATGTTTCTATTTCCCTCTCCCTTCCTCTCTGAAATCAATATTAATAATTTTTTTAAAAAAAATCAGAGAGGCAGGCAGTGACCGGTGTCGTTCTAAACGACGGAGAGGTTAACAATAATACGCGACATTGTAACTAGGAGCCGGGCACCACGCAGAATGCTACCCGGATTGTCTTACTTCATCCTTACCACCCGCCATGAGGCAGGCGCTGTATGATCCTTGCTTTCCAGATGAGGAAGTGGAGGGTTGGGGGGGTGGGGGGGTGTTCCTTACTCAAGGCCACAGCAGGAATATACTACAGCCCCCACTTCAAACCCTTTAGGACCAGCGTTCTCATTTGATGAATTAGAAAACATGCAGAGAGGGGACACAGCTTGAGCTTTTATCGTTTAACGTCAGGTTGTATTGAGTGCTGCATGTCGACCATCGTGTTGTTTTTTTTTTTAATATTTTATTGATTTTTTACAGAGAGGAAGGGAGAGGGATAGAGTTAGAAACATCGATGAGAGAGAAACATCGATCAGCTGCCTCCTGCACACACCCCACTGGGGATGTGCCCACAACCAAGGTACATGCCCCTGACCGGAATCGAACCTGGGACCTTTCAGTCC